CTGGCCCATGGTGTGCTGAGCAGCCCCTGCTCTCCTGGTGAGGAGCCTGTTCCTCACCCTGGGGCTCTCTGCACACACCTCGTGTCGCTCATCACACATCCCTCAGCTGGAGCACCCAGCTCTATCCCAGTGCAGCAGATGAGGATCAAACCATGTATTTATTCAGAGGTTATGAATTACAGGTGATTTACTCCACTGGCATGGATGGTTTCAGTGAATTCCATTGTGCTATTTAGCAACTTTCTGTAAATAACAACAAAAGTTTGGATTATCAGAATGATGACAAGAGTCACTGATTTTTTTTTGACAAAATATCCTGTATATGAGAGGTGCAGATACATCCTATTCAATCAGAAGCTCTCAGGCCAGGAGAGCTGTTGGCAGTTACACCACATCTAATTGACATTTTCATAGCTTTCCTTAGGAAAAGGGACAAGGGCCCCTGAGGTGGGATTGATGAGTGTGGGGAGGAGCTGGCTCACTTCTGAAATGGAGGCTTCTTAGCCCAAACCCTCTCTGTGTCAGTCATCTGCTCCCTTTGCAGCACCCCTCCTCCTGGATGAATTGTGCAAAACATCTCAGCAGAAACCGGGAGAGCTTCTGGGGAAAAGCCAGGGAACAACTGCTTCCCAGGGGAAACACTCTGAGCAGATCCTGGCTGCCTGGGAAACACCCTTGGAATCCAGCAGCGCATCCCCAGGAATGTGCTGGGGACACGCTGCTTCTGCCTCAGTCATTGCTGAACCTAAAATCCCTGAGAACAGTGTCAGGCACAGAGCTCTGGGATCACTGCACCAAGTGGGAGAGACACTGTGAACATGTCCCTGAAGTGCTCAGTGTTGATCCAAAGAAATGCTTGGGCATAACCTCACCAGAGCCCACTGGGGCCGGGCTTCACTGACACCTGTGTCTGCCCAGTCCCTGGAGGAGAAATGGTAAGGAAAGAACAATTAGAAAAGGGAAAAGGAATGGGAAACATATGAATGTTTGCTTCATTGCCAGCACCCCTGTGATGGATTTCAGTGCTTGGGCCCTCCTGTCCCTGCTGGGCCCCACTCTGGTCCCCTGTCATGTCCTGTCCCTGTCGCTGTGTCCCAGTAACGAGCCGGTGCTGATTGAGCCAAGTGTGATCCTGCTGGCCCCACGTCTTTGTGGCTCCTTCCAGGGTGTCCCATGTCCAGCTCACCCCATCCACTATGGATTCCTGGGAATGTGTTGGGGTTTCCCACCATTGCTGGTGCCAGTGCCAGTGTTGCTGTCGGTGTTGGATGAGCCCTGGCTGATGCCGGATGTTGAGCAAACCTTACAGTGAAGTTGTGACGTAGCCCTGGTCCCAAATCCCAGCCTGGAAGGCATCACTAGCAGCTCTGGGTTACACCTCCACTACAGCCAGAACACAGGAATTTTCTGGATATAAATATTTAAATACCTGTATTTTTTGTATGACAGATTTATACAGCGTGTGGCATTATCCGCTGTGAAAAGTCTACAACACCTATAAATTATTCTCCTTTAATCACTTGCCATGAGATTGTTTTCTTATCTCTGTTATGTTACAAAGTTTGCAAAGTTGCATATTTTTAAGTGTTTCCATTGAATTCCACGGCCTTCACTGGGAAATTGTGCAGAAGACAAATATCAGGTCAGGTCCTGATGTTTCTTCTGTTGCCAATTCTTTATTACTCCAGAGCTTGCCAAAAAGAGTCTAAGAGTAATAAAATAATAGCAAAAATGCCAATAATATGGACTTGACCCTGGACAGTGCTGAAATCCTGTTGCCTTGGTAGGGTATTTTTAAAAAATTATTGCAGTGCATATATATGTAAATATATCTTTGTATTTTATGTTAATACATTCCTGTAATTTTCTTGCATGACAATTTTACCACGTCACGGGATATTTAAGTTACGACGAGTTTGTGTTTTTGCAGATACTGCCGGAAGCCATTGCACATGTGGAGTAATAAATGTGTATTTTTAACATTGCCAAGTATTTGGTGTCATTTCCACGGTATTGAGCTGTAGATCCATGAAACCATGGAAACATCTGAATGCTGGAATTCTGTGGCCGAGCCAGACCCAGGGCTGCTGGGCCACCCTGCTGGTGTGGAGCCAGGTGGGACGAGAGCTGCAGGAACATGGCCATGAGACACCTCAAAAACAGGGGCTGAAAGAGGAACAGCTGGATCCAGGCATTCCAGTGTCCCACTTTCCAGTGTCAGCCAGAAGTGTTTGTAATTCCCTAGGGAGGCTGTATGTGCACACTGTGGGGCTGAGGGCCCTGTCCATGTGGGTGGAGGGTGTCGGAGAGGTTGAGTAGAGCCCTGGGCATGGCCACAGGCCTGAGCCAGCACTGTCCAAACCTGCCCCGCTGCTGTCAGTGCTGGGGCTGGCAGGTGTTTTGGGAGTAGCAGGATGGGGCTGGGAGTACTCAGGGGACAGAGGTTGGGGCAGGGGACAGGTGGGTGGTTTGGGAGTGGCTGGGGATGGGAGGGGATGGTGGTAGGACCCTGGGATTGCTGTGGCAGGGGAGACACAGTAGCTGTGGCTCGCAGTGATTTTGTATTTCCCCTTGCACAGCCCTGGATTTTTGATCTTAAACTCTTTAAAAGCAGCCCCAGGAGTGTCAGGAGATCTCTGCTTTTTCCCTCTCATCCCTCCTCAGTGCAGGAATCACTCCTCTCGCTCGGCAGCGACGTGCTGCTGCTGGGTCACAGCGTAGGCAGCAGCTATGAAGGCTCCTCCTGACTTCAAAAGGAGCCGTGAAGGAACGAGACGAATTGATGCCTGACTCTGAGCTCGTCCCTCTCTGCAGAGCCTGTCGCCTCTGCTTTTGATGCCTCTGGGATGGCATTCCCAGCTGTCCATGGGTGTCCCCAGGGGCACCCATCAAGCGAGGTTATTCACTACAGGGGGGAAAAGGCGAAGGGCACAGGGTGAGGGCAGCTTCCCACACCCAGCCCTGAAATACAGTGGGTGGAAAACTGATGGATTCAAACTTCCATGGCAGCCAGGAGTGTTCAGTGTCTGCCTGCCCTGTGCCGTTATTGCTGTGCCTAAACTGTGGGAACCAGCTTTTGCTAGGAACAAGCATCTTGTCCCACCCCTCTGCCATGGGCAGGGACACCTTCCACTATCCCAGGCTGCTCCAAGCCCCATCCAACTTGGCCTTGGCCACTTCGAGGAATCCAGGGGCAGCCACAGCTTCTCTGGGCAACCTGTGCAGGGCCTCACCACCCTCACAGCAAAGATTTCCTTCTCAATATCCCATCTAACCCTGGCTTCTGTCAGTTGGAAGCCATTCCCCCTTGTCCTGACACTCCATGCAAGATAAAAATAAAAAAGCTGCAGTGAGCATGGAAAGGTAGGGATAATTTGGGATAAGTGTAGGAATAGTTTGGTGCCTCTGCCAGCTGATTCTGTCCCTTAGGAGCACTGCTGTCCTGCAGGGAATCCAGAGGTCCATCCCCACTCGAGGCACAAGTGCAGAGATTTAGGGCTCCTCCGTCGCAGCTGCGGTGCCGCAGAGATGGGGACGTGCCCTCGGTCAAGGGCACGGAGCGTCTCCCCAGCGCCCTGACCCAGAGCCTGCAGGAAAGCTGTCCAAAGGAATTAGGGCCAGACCGTGTTGGTGCCACGGAGGGGTTTGTCTCCCGGAGGCTCTGGCTCCATTAGCAGGCGGCTGTGGGGCTCGGCTCAGCATCTCCTGGCACTGGGAGAGCTGCAGAGATGCTCCTGGCTCCGATCCCTGCATTAGGAGTAGGCTGGAGCAGCTGTGCCAGTTCCAGCAGCTCCCTGACAGAGGGAATAAATGCAAACCCTTCCTCCGAAGGGAAGGGGTGGTGGGATTTGGGCCCTGGACTGGTGCAGTGGGCGGAGGGAAGAAAACTGGGAAATGGTGGGAGAGGGGATGGCATCTCTGGGAGCTGGCACTAACCAGCCCAACTGTGGGAAAAGGGATCTTTCCAGGACAGAGACCACGGAACTTCTTTTGTTAAATGTTACCAAGCTGAGGGTGCTGGGGTGTCCCTTTCACCCCCTGAATGTTGGGGTGGTGGGGAGGTCACTGCCAGCAGACTGACTTCTATCATTCCTATTCTTTATGGAGTTCCTACTGCCATAATGTCAAGTTCTATGTAGAAAGAAAATAGATCATGGAATCATAAATGGTTTGGCCTGAAAGGGACTTTAAAGCTTATCTAGTCCCCCCCCCCGCCACAAGCAGGGACACCTTCCACTAGATGTTAATTGTCTTGGTGCAATTGCAGGAAAAATCAGAAAACAAACAAATGAAATTAAGCAAGTTAAAACTAAATATAAAGCATATGAATAAATGCATTCCCATGTGTTTGCTGCAGAACCTACTGCAGCATTAAACTGTGAGATTTAGGTCAGATCAGATAATCAAAAAAACCCCACCAAAAAAAAAATCCCTCCCTGGTTTACATTTGGGGGTTCAGGTAATAATACATTCATTCCTAGCTAACTCATGGATTCGTGTATCCAGAGCTGCCTTACAAGCAATTCCAGCTCCCACCCAAGGAGCTGATGTTTGCCTGTGCTTCCATAACCCTTTCCCCTTTCTTGTTCCCTGCTCAGACAGAGCTGGAGAGCAAAGCCTGACACTGCTTGAGGGAAATTTGCATCTCATGGACATGTCACGGCATCTCACTGTGCCGGCATCTCACCGGCACTGGGAGCAGAGTGGACCTAGTGGGACAAACCAGCCCCCACTCCCAGTGCTGTGAGTTCCAAACCAGAGGGTTTTGGAGCCTGGCTGAATGCCCTGGATGAGCAGAATGGCTGAGGAGAAGGGTGGGATTCTGCCTCGGGCCCACACAGCGGATGAGGAGCCTCTCCCCTTGTCCAAGGGGAGCACAGTAACCTCCAAGTCAGGACTGGATCGTACCATCCTCACAGAGAAAAACCCAAAGGAAGAAAACACAAAAATAGACTCAGGAGGATCAAACACTGCCACCATTTTATGGTTTCCAACCAACTTTATTCCAAGCAAGGAGCAGACAGGAATGGGCGAGCTGTTCCTGGAGGTACATGCATGGCTCTGTGGCCAGAGGTTCAATCTATGTACACACCTTTAAATATAATAACCAGGTTATAGTAGCCTTTATAAAAGAGTGTGCCATATGCACTTGGCCTCCAAACAAGCCCTGGTATTGGGTACTGGACCCACACTCAGTTCTTGAGAAATTGTATAAATAATCTGTAAAAACAAGCCTGACAGAAGGACACAGGCCCACAGCATGGCTGGGTCCCGGAGAGCCAGCACTGCTCTGCCCCCAGGATGTGGGGCCCACACCCACCCCTGGAGCTGTGATCAGCGAGGGACGGACAGACAGACGGACCGGGGTGGCTCACGAGTGTGGTGACAGTGGCTCCAGGAGTATGGCCAAGGCTGCTCTGGAGCACTGTGGACAGGTGGGATGTGACTGACTGTATGGAAACCATGGAAGTGCTCGTCGGTTGGAAGTCCTTCGATGAGAACGGGCAGTGGATGCTGCTGGAAAGGAGCGTGATCCAGCCAGGATGCGCCTTCATTTCCGCCCCGGCCCCCAGCCAGCCCAGCAGGGCTGAGCCCGCTGCCCTGGGGACATCATGGTGCCACATGCACGGGGAAGGGCTTTCCAAGCAGCTAGTGAAGGAACACCGACGGGAGAATCCAGGCTGGGAGTGCTACCTCGGGGGTCACTCTACTTTCTACCTACGAGGGAAGGGCTGGGACAGCTGACAAAGCGCTCGCTCGTTGTCATCCTGTGCGGAGGGCACCCACCGTCCCCTTCCCGGCTGGCCTGGCCCCGGTGGGACCCTGGTGGTGGCGGTGGCAGGGACCGGCACGACGGTGGCACAGGGACAGCCTCAGGACAGCGAGGTGATGTTGGACCTCCCGCCCGGCGGGGCCATGATCTTCTGCGCCGTGCGCCGGGCAATGTGGTCATCTGCCTGCGACCCTGGGGGATGGCAAAAGGGATGGGGGGAGTCCCACTGCCTTAAATGCACACACCACACAGTGTTTCCTCAGTGGGAAATACCGGCAGTTTCACCATGTATCACTTTGGACATTCTGCTATCACAGTACGCTTAGGAACGGCTGTTATTTGACTGGACTTCTTCATTCTGTGTTGTGTCTTTCTGGAAAATGTTATAAATGGCTTTGTATATAATAAAATGTGGGGCTTTGTGCATTTATCAAACAGCACGGGATCCACCTGATCCAGTCAGCTAAAAAAATATTGCAGAAGTCATTTTAGGGCAGAGCATTGGCTTTCCAAGCTCCCAGCAGCTGCTGGCAGGTTTCTGCAGGGTGAACGATGCTGAGTCACTGCCTGCTCACACGGAAAGACCAGAGGGATTACTATTCTGGTTCCTGGAGATGGAGTTATTTGGCCAATCTTTACAAACCCAACCACTTCCAACCCCTGACTTGCATTTGGGGTTGAAGTCCCAACCCACCAACAGCCATGGCAGCATCTCATAGACCTCAGCAGGGCTGTGGTGACTCCATCACCTCCAGCCTCATCTTCCTCCTGCTCATAGTTTCAGCTTCCACCCTCCATGGAGCCGCCTCGCAGTCCCTGCCAGGCTTTGTGCCCTGACACAGGCACTGTAAAATATTTCTGTGCTGCACTCAGGCCCTCGGCTGTCCGCACAGGACAAATTGCTTTTCACTGAGCAGAAACGCAGTTTCTTTCTCCCAGCCTTGCCTGGCCGCTCACACCCACCCAAACCAGCCCCCGGCCCCCCACGTACCGGAGAGGCTGAACCCCGACTGGTGCAGGTTGCGCACGGGGGCAGCCGGGGCTTTGCCGGCGCCGGGTGCGAGGCGTGACGTGGCCGTGGGCGCTGCGGCCCTGACACTCGCTGGCACCTCATGGACTGGCCCATCATACATCCCTCTGGGAACACCATGGACCTCGGCCAGCTGCGGGGGAGAGCGAGCACAGGGGTCAGGCATGAGTAGGGACAGGTACAGGGCAAGAGGGAATGGCCTGAAGCTGTGCCAGGGGAGGCTCATGTTGGATACCAGGGAAAATTTCTTGATGGAAAGGGTTGTCCAGCCATGGCACAGCTGCCCAGGGCAGGGGTGGAGTCCCCATCCCTGGAGGGATTTAAAAGCCGTGTGGCCCTTGGGGACATGGGTTAGTGGTGGTCTTGGCAGTGCTGAGGGGTGGTTGGACTGGATGGTTTTAAAGAGATTTTCAACCTGGCCTTGGACACTTCCAGGGATGGCACTTCTCTGTGTCCCATCCTGGTCCTGCAGGGAGCTGGCACAGCCCCATCCCCATCCTGCCCTGAGTCCAGGCATCCCCAGGCACCCTGGACACCCCCAGGAACCCTCAGGCACCCCAAAGCTGGGGGTTCTGCCTCTGCAGGTAAGTGGTAAGTAGCTGAGTCCTGCTCTGCCTTCATCTAGGATGCAGCATGGAACTGCCTGCAATAGCACAGGGAAAAGGGAAGGAGGGCAGAGCTGTTAAGAAGCTTTATGCATATTTGCACGTCTTTGTGTCTCCTTAAAAAGCTGTGCCAGTGCACAGGAGGATTTATCCTACTGTATTTCCAGTACCTACAGAAACTACACACCTCACTCTCCAAAGGCTGCTGAGCAGACACTGGGAACACAGTAACAGAAACTTCTCTAGCACAAGTAGGAGAGGAATTCCTCCCTCTACCTCAATAAACAAAAAAACCCCTTTGCTAGAAGTTGTATTTTTGCTTTATAACATTATAACAGGCAAATGATACTAATAAAACTGGCATTATGAGCTCTAATACTGCACTAGGAATTACTGACTGAGGTGCCAGGCCCTGCACCGCAGCAGTTACATGACAACACACAGACTTCCAAGGCCTAGAAAGAAATAACATTAATAATATTCCTGTTGCTGTTGCAGCTTTGTCATCACAGTGACCCAAACACATCATCACAGTGACCCACAGTTTCAAGAGATTGTGATGAAAATACAGGATTACAGCAAATAAAACTCTCCTTACCCTGTTTCTTGCCTTTATCCTTTTATAAACAAAATCTGGGAAGGTCTTTCTAGGAATGAAGCGACCCAATCCCTGGGTGACACACAGGTTTCCATCTTCAAGGACAACTCTTCCCTGACTGATGACCACGGTTGGGACCCCGTGGCACTCGGTGCCTTCAAATATGTTGTACTCCACGTTCTGGAAAAACCAAAACCCGATATTCAGTCCTGGCAGGATTTAAGAGGAGGAGGTGACAGCCAACAATCCCCCCATTTCTGTTCACAGCTCCTCACACACCATGAGTTGGAACTAACTGACCCTCCATATTCCGAATAAAAAGTTTCAATGGGATGAGTTGAAGCAAATTGGAATGGAGAAACTAAACCCTAAAAACACTCCAACTGTAACAATATTTTAATTAAACCAAGTTCAGCACTTACCTTTTTCTAATCCACAGAGAATACACTGACCTCAAGATTTCCCTGCTGGATGCAGACTGCCTCAGAGTGGTCACTCAGTACCAATACCACCCTTTACAGCAACCAAAGGATATTTTCCTAGTGTGTTAAAAGCAAGTGCAAGGTCCTTCATCACTTTACCCATACAGAGATCTCCTCCCCTGCTGAACGATCTGACCTTTCTAAGAACATACATTACTTTCCAGCTCTCTTCTGATTCTAAACCCAGCTCCAGGAAATAATTTTAAAAATATTTTACCAAATTGTGGGTCTTTGCTGAGATGATTTTAGTAGCCTTGGGGTTCCACACGACCAAGTCTGCGTCAGCACCCACAGCGATGCGTCCCTTTCTAGGGTAGCAGTTGAAGATCTTAGCAGCATTGGTGCTGGTCACTGCTACGAAATCATTCTCATCCATCTTCCCAGGGACCTGGGAAGGAGCAGGGAGGAAGGATCACAGATGGGGATGGCCCTGTGCCCGCCGCAGGCACAGTCCCTCCCCGTGGCTGGAGGAACTGCTGGACCCACCCACGTGCCCGTGTGGTGTGAGGGTCTGCACCGCCTCAGGGTGTGGTTACAGGGGAAAGGGGGGAGCTGAGCCTTGTCCCTGTGGGCTAAAGGATACAAGGGACGTGTTTTATTTTCCCTGAAATTTACTGTGAAGAATTTGTGTGTCACAGTCCCTCAAGCAGCAGCTCTCTGAAGCTGTGTCTAGACAGTGTCACCCTCCCGGCTGGTCTGGATTCAGGAGGCTGTGACAGCCCCGAGCACAGGCACAGCTCACGTGTGTTCACACTCCACCTTCGCTCTTCCAGCACCTACCACACACTTCTCCCAGATGATGGACATCCGCTCCTCGATGCCGTTGGTGCCCTCGGGGATGAGGGTGAAGTTGTCCTTGCCCACGGCCTTCTGTGCAGTGGTGAAGGTGCAGTGGGCACTGCCAGTGACCTGCAGGTCCCCACTGGGAGAAGGACAGGGCAGGGTCACCAGGGGCACTGTTGATGCCAAGGCCACCTCCCTGGCCAGGATATCCTCCTTCTCCCAGCAGACTAGGGGGCCACCCATGGCTTTTTGGGCTCCACGGGCAATGCCACTGCTGGAAACGGCATCCGGATGCATCCAAGCTGGATGCAGTCAGGGCAGGTATGCTCAGGCACTCGTGACACGGGACTCACCTGGACAGGAGAGTGGTGAGGTGATCTGGTGTGGTGGGGTCGGGGCTGATGGGGGGGGATGTGACAAAGGCAGCGGCTTTGGCCCAGTTTTTGCTCCAGTAGTGGGATCCGTCGGTGCCCAGGCTGGCAGTGATGGGCTCCCCGAACACCACTGTGCCTGTGGAGCAATTGGGAATGAGGGCAGTCACACCACGTCCCGCAGGCCCCTCACCCAGCACAGACACAGACACGGTAACGACACACGACAGTTCCACTTATTTCAGCATTCCCAGTATTTCAGAATCACATTAATCCTTTAGATTATCTCAGATGACTGGGAAGTGCTGTCAAAGCAAGTTATGATGTGTCTGTTCTCTCCTTACACCAGATACGTGTTCCTGCAAGCCTTCCTTTAAACTAAACCCACGTCCCTCTGGCAGCTGCCAGGCTGGGAGCAGAGGTGGCTGTGCCCCTTTTCCACCCTGCTCCCCACAGGATCACTCCCAGCCCTTCCCACTCCACCCTCAGGTCAGAATTTGAATCTTGCTCCAGATCTGCTTTTCATTCAGTTCATGACAAACGCTCACAAGTATTTCTCATGTGTCACAGTTTGGAGCACATCCCCTCCAATCTTCCCAGCTCTAAGCAATTAGCTCTGGTATACCCTTCCAGGGAAACCAGCTCCTGAGATTCAGCCCCCAAGGCACGAGAGAGATTGGGTGATAACAGTGATCAGCCCTCGAATTTACAGCGAGATTCCTGGCTGGATTTAGAGGCTCAATGAACTACCACAGACCAGCTTTACCTTTCCTCTTTGCCTGGGCCAGGACATCAGCGGCACCCTTGCTCATGACTTTGGTGATGTAGAGGGGGCAGTTGGCCTGCCTGGCGATGGTGATGGCTCGGTACACGGCCTCTGCCTCCACCTGTGGGGACAAGAACATGGCACAGGCATCCCAGAGGCTCTGCACAGTGGGACCCAGAGCTCGGTGGGAGGGCTGGCAGCGTTACCTCCTCGGGGCGGCTCAGGACATGGCCCTCTGGCCCTGTAATCCCCAGCTCCAGCAGCCTCTTCTGCTCCTGGGTGGGTGAGGAGGAAGGAAAGAGCAGTCAGCGATGGGCACAGCCCATCCAGAGCACCAGGGGACACAAAGGCACCTGAGGGGCTGAGGGACATTCATGAATCTGCCCAGGTGGCTCCATGTTCTTGGGATGCCCCACACGCCACCCCCAGAGACCTGTCCTGTGCTGAGGAAATGTTCCTGGATGGGAACTGCTGTGTCCCAACAGCACCTCTGGACCTTTTCAGCCCTCAAACCCACAGTTCTGGAGGAGGGGGAGTCACATCCATCACTGCTAACCCTGAGGCTGTCAGAGCTCTGACGTACAGCTACAGCAAAGCGAGAGGGGCTTCCCCACACCTGGGCCTGCCTGGAGCAGCTCAGAAGCCCACTGAGGGGACAGAGATGGACACAGAGCCTGTCAGTGGGGCGCAGCAAGTGCCACCTCTCCGGAGCATTCCCTGTCCCTGTGCACTTCACCACATGGCACAGAGGAAAGGGCACCTGTGGTGACACATGCTGGGATGAGCTGTGGGGTGTCCCAGGTCACTCACGTGGCACCTGAACACAGATGTCCAGCCCACCCCTCACCCCGTCCCTCTGTGCTGTTGTGTATCATGTAACCTCCCACTCAGCTGGCACTAATTCAAGGACATCATCCAACACCATGGAGCAGATCCCACAGGATCCTCTAAAGGACCCTCTTAGAGGATGTTTATTTCTCTGTATTCCTGTCACAGATCTCCTCTGAGTTTGTCCCCAGGGCTCCAGTGTCACCACACTGGCTGGCAGTTTACAGAAATTCTGATGCAGTTACTGAACTGCCTGGGGTCATGTTATGCTCCACTGTGAGCTGGGAACAGGTTCCTCAGATAAAATCCCGGGAGGTGGGAATTAGCCTCTATCCTGTTTGTTCAAATAAGCCCATTTGAAGGATTGGATTCGGCTTTCAGTTTAACCTTCCTCCCACACCAGACTGAATGCTGGTGTGACTGTGAGCTGAAGGAATTGCCAGTCCAACTCCTCCCTGTGTATCTGACTGCAGGCTGGAGCCAGGATTGTCTTTTCTATGGGTTAAAAAGAAAAATAATGCCCATGAGCAGAGGCTGGGACACCAAGGAGTTCCCGAGTGCCGGGGTGGAGTTAAGCTCTGACAAGTGTCATGAACGTTACAGCAAAATATACAAACCTCCTGAGCTTCCCAAGTGCCCCAGATTTCTGAACAACGCAGATAATGTGATAAAGCATCACTTAAGGCAGTCAGTCATCCCTTAGGCAGCCCCAAACCGCCTGCTGGGAACCATACAGATTCCTGTGCTGGAACCCACGTTCATGTGAGGATCCATGAGGACGCTGATGATTCCACGGGAGACCCTGATCCTCCTGCACATTCCTCTGCCTGTGCACGCTGCCATGCAGGGTCCCATTAGTCCCTTCCCTCCAAGGCTTTGGGGCACCAGGTCACACTGCAGGGGAAGGGGCAGGGACTGCCCTCCCTGGTGCTCTGGTTGCAGTGCCCTGGTGACCCCGCAGTCTCAGCGGACACAGACTCGGTACCTCCTCGATGATGTCTCCGTTCTCCGCATGCACTTGGGCGATGGCCCCCAGGTCTCGAATGATGCAGAAGATCTCGTACATCTGCCAAGACACAGCGGGTTCCCAGCATCAGACCCGTCCCTGCCCATGCTCAGGGAGAGGGTGGTGGCTTTCCCTGGATGCTGCTGTCCTACCTGGGCATCAGTGCACTGCAGCTTGTCCTTGTAAGCCATGAACACCAGGAAGGAGTTCACACCTGGAGAAAAGAAAATGACATGAGGTTGTGGTCCCACTGAGAACTCATCGACCTGGTAAGGGCTGAGCAGGGGTGGTCGAGGGGTTGTGCTGGAGAGGGTTAGATGGGAAGCAAACCAAGGCCAGGGGCTGAAGTGAGAAATGTCCACAAAAGAACTGACCCCAAAGCTTGGGAGCTGTGAAAGACAATAAACCCCCATCTTTGGGTGCATCTGAACCAAAAAAAGAAAACCCAGTGGTCCAGGTTCAGGTGCCCTCTGTGACTCTATCTGAAAGCACAGTCAGCTGCCTTGCTCCCAGGCTGGTTTTTCCTCCAGTGGTGGCTTCAGTTTATGATTTATTCTTACCTTTGGACAAGGGCCTGCAGTGACAGGGCAAGGGGGAATGGCTTTCAACTGCCAGAGGGCAGGGTTAGATGGAATATTGGGAAGAAATCCTTCCCTGTGAGGGTAGTGAGGCCCTGGCACAGGTTGCCCAGAGAAGCTGTGGCTGCCCCATCCCTGGAAGTGTCCAAGGCCAGGTCGGATGGGCCTTCAAGCAACCTGGGATAGTGGAAAATGTCCCTGTCCATGGCAGGGAGTGCACTGAGATGGGATTTAAGGTCCCTTCCAGTCCAAACTATCCTCTGATTCTATGAATTGCAGCTATATTTTATATTGAGGCAACAACCAATACAAAACTACGACCAAATTACAAATAAAATGTATTTCATGTGTATTCCAAGCTCGGAATAGCTCCATTACTTCAGCCACTCTGCATTTTAATAGGAAATTCACTGTGAATTTCTATGGTAATTGGCCAATTAAACCCTTGCTTGCAAGACTACAAATTACACTGAAGTCATTTAGCTCCACATTAGCATATCTGAAGGAAAATGTAGTCCCAAACACGGCAATGTGTATTAATGAATTCACGAATCCCCGCCGTGTGGCCTGCTTTCCAGCAAGCCGTGTCCTGCGGATGCTTCAGGATGCGCAGGAATTACAGGCACAGCGGAGCCTCTGCGGAACGCCTGAACCTGAGCTGTGTTCTCCAAGCCCCATCCCGGAGGTTTTTATCTAAATATTTTTTTTGTACGTCAGGCAGCCCAGACCGGGGTGCCTGACCCCATCCGTTTAGTTTCCAAAATCCCTTTCCATGACCGACTGCCTGAGGGTGAGGGCACACCACGCAGATGCTACAGCAGGAACCTCGTGCCAGGATGGCTGAGGACAGGGCGGTCCCAGCTCTGCAGGAAGGACGATCCCCTCCATGTCCCCCCCGCCAGGTGGGGCAGCAGTGACATCCCCACTCACCCCAGGGCTCGCCCTGCCCTTACCCTTGTCCTTCACCAGCGCCTCCATCTCCTCCCTCAGGCTCTCGTGCCAGCGCGGGATGTCCACGTGCAGGCCGTAGTCGCAGCAGGCCTGGCCGTCGGCGCGGCCGCGCCACTGCTCGAAGGCGGCCACGAGGCTGGTCCCGGCGTCCAGGCACACGTGGTCAACTGGGGAGACACTGCACAGAGTTAGGGAGGGGTGGGGGACAACCCGGGGGCACCGTGCCCTTGCAGGAGACCTGCTGCTGTGGGGAGGGGCCATTGCAACACCGGTTCATTTTATAGCGCTGGTTAAAAGTGATGGGTAATGAATTTCCCAGAAGAAGTGGTAAAAACAGAACAAGAAAACTCCAAGTTATGGCTATTCTGCCTTCTTTTCACCCAGCAGAGCACTGGGAGTGGCTGGTGACCAACCCATGTCCTCACGCACTTCTGCTCTGGGGCATTTCCCAAGGGTGGCACGCCCCTGCCCATCACATTCCTCAGCTCTCCTCCCATTCCCTGCAGCACTGGCTGTGGGGTCAGTAGGGAGCTATGCCAGGACTGTCGACACTGGTCCTGCAGTCACATACTACAGTGGTTCTTGGGACCAGAACAGGAACAAAACAGAGGTCAAAATTATTTTACATTAACACAAAAAAGGAACCCATGCTCAGAGTTGAGAAACTCAAAAAAACGCACTTGCAAAGCTGTTCAAAAGATATTAAAAGGTGTTTAAAGTGTTCTTCTGTTTTGTTCTCTGATGAGGTGAGCCAGCAGCAGCCATGTATTTTTAATACATGTGTGCAGCAAGGGAAGCAGGTTCTGCGAGGCACATAACACCTTTAATTAGGTCTGTAGTGCTTCAATTTCTCCAGCAGAAATTAACGTTTCTGTGCTACGAGGGTAAATATCTCTGCAGTGGTTCAAGGCCTGGTGTATTTCGCTAGGCAACGTTCTACTTAGAAGCCTGTTGGAATTGTGCCCCCCCCTTACTGATCATGGTGGTGCCTCCTGCCAGCGCTGCCTTGGTGCCCTGGGAGAAGCCGTCGGCCGAGCTCAGCCCCAGCACCGGCGCCTGCAGCCGCGTGTGGGCATCGATGCCCCCCGGCATCACCAGCTGCCCATGGGCATCCACTGTCCGGGTGCCACCAGGCACATTCAGGTTTTCTCCGATTTGTCTGAAAAGGAAATCAAGGTTCTTCAGTTAATTGGCAACAAGTTTGAAGCGAAGATGCCAAAAAAACCCCTCTGTCTGCAGGGCCGGGTTCTCCCCAGTCTGCCGGTGGCTTTGGAAGTCTTTCTGGCTGCAGAACTACACCAGTGTAGCTCTTTCTTGACACTAATCTAAAAAACTGCCCTTTTTTTTGAAAAGGGGATAGATTTCCAAGAGAAAAATGATGGGAAGGAACCTCGTTCAAATCCCACGGCACTGTATCATTCTAAGAAATTACATTACCAAATATAAATTTTTAACTTACTTTATTAAACCGTCCTCCACGTAAATGTCTGCATAAAATGACTGATCATCGTTGACAATTTTTCCTCCTTTGATTAGAAGCTGGTCACTCTAATGAGGAAAAAAACATATCTTTTTTCTTAATCTTAAGGATTCCTTTATTTAGATGCCACTGAGCTTTATTAAGTCTAGGAATTAATATTTTCCCTGCAACCACACCAGTTTAATGACTATTCAGACCATTCTACAACTGCATTTCCAAAGGGAACCATATAAAACTGTCATCTGGAGGATCACAGATCCCTCAAGGAGCCAGGGGAGCACAGGGAGCACCAGTATCCCCAGCTCCAAGGGCTGAGCCATGTCTCTTAACTGTGTTCCTGCCTCCACCCTCAGCTCTGGGTACAGAGACTTCTCAGTGCATCTCATTAACCTGGTAATTTATTGCCATTCATTGGTTTTCAACAGTCTCATTGGATGCAGATAAAGCCTTGAGGACTCGCCTCACTTCAAAGCCAGACACTGGCACAGTTGTCAGATTTGCAGAATCTTCACCCAGAATCTTTAACTAGAAAATTTAGGAAGCAGCAGCAGCACTGATGTCAATGTGGAGCTGCAACCTAATTTCAGAGGATTCCTTTCCTGCTCGCTGGTGTTGTTAAAAGGACTATCAACAAGGCTGAAATAGGCAACACAAAGAGCATGGCCTGGGCACAAAACCAGCCGAGGGAATCCCGAGCACGTGGCAGCACAGCCTGGAGATGCTGCACCACACAGCTGATGAAAAACTGCCTGGAAACATTTGGGGGTTGTTTAAAAACACAGTGCTGGCATAAAAAAAAATAAAATTAAAGAATTATGTTGTGTTTTTTGAACTATCAAGGATTTATCGAGTCTTTATTGTTTTCCCTTGTCCCATAACATCAATCAAAGAAGCCTCAGTGTTGCTGCCCCATAGAGAGCCTGACAGCCCCTCCCTCCCCTTCTGGGGCCCATCTTCACCTCATGCTCACCCCCATCCTCACTCCGTCCCTCATCCTCTCCCCCATCCCCATCTTCACTCCAGCCTCACCCTCCTCCCATCTTCATCCTCCCCCCATCCTCACCCTCACCCCATTCACATCCTCATGCTCCCCCCATCCCCATCCTCACATTCACCCCATCTTCAGCCCCGCTTCAGCCCCCCACACCGAGGATCTGCTCCCCAGCCCAGTAACGCGGCTGGTCCCCGGCTCCCGTACCCACTGGGATGCTCCCGAGGGAGCTCTGCCACGAGCCAGCACAAGGAGTGGAAAAAACAAAACAAGGCATCGCTATCGAGGGATTTTTCCCGACTCCTGCTGGGAAGCGCTGGCTCCGGGAGGAGGGAATTCCCTCCCACACAGCCCGGCCGGGGAGCGCCCGCGGCTCCGAACGAGCGGCAGCGCCGGGGGAGACCTTGGGGTGCGGGCGGGGACCCCCGGGCTGGGGCGGCGGGATCCGGGCGGGGAGCAGGGACGCGGCGGAAAGATGCTCACAGCCCCCAAGCCCGTTCGGCGATAAAAGCATTTCCAAGCACATTTCCCGCCCCAGCGCCGAAGGGAAGCCGTGTCGGCGGCGGGGCAGCCCCGCGGCCGCACGGAGGGGCGCGCCCGCCTTTGTCCCCCCGGGACGGCCCCGGGACAAAGCGCCGGGTCCGGCCGGGCCGGCAACAAAGGAGCGGCGGGGCGGAGGGGCCCGCACGACGCGACCCCGGGCACGGGCTGGGTCCGCCGGGACCGCCGGGAGCCCACCCTGGGGGCAGCGGGACCCCCAGCGCTGCCCAGGGTGCGGGGACCACCCGCCCCGCTCCATCTCCGCCGGCCGGGGGGACCCGTGGCCCCCGGCCCCGGCTCGCAGCCCCCGGGGGTCCCGCACCCCGCGCCCCGCACGGGAGACCCTCACCGTGGTGCGGGTCGCGCTCTTCTTGCCCTGGTGCGACATCTCCGCGCCGCCGCCGCCGCCGAGGGTGTGCGGGGCTCCTGCGCGTGCCCGCGGCTGCGCGTCCCCGCCTGCGTGCGCGCCCCCCGCCCGCCCCGGCCGCGCTCCCGGAGCCGCCGACGGAGCCGGGGATTGCGGGCACCGAGCGGGACCAAGCGGGGCCGGTCCGGTCCCGCAGCCCCCGCAGGGCCCGGGGCTGGCGGGGCCGGTGACAGTTCTGTCCCCCCAGGGAGAAGCGGCCGCTCGGTGCCCTCGGACCGAACGCTGCACAAACCCGCTCGCCGGGCTCGTCTCAGCGCCTCGTCCCGGCGCGGGGCTCCCGCGGGTCATCGGGGCCAGGACGGGACGGGAAGGGATGGGATGACATGGCATGGCATGGCATGGCATGGCATGGCATGGCATGGCATGGGAAGAGACGGGATAGGATGGGATGGGAAGAGACAGGACGGGGCTGAACGGGACAGGAGTGAACCGGACGGGAGGGAAGCGGACGGGATGGGGCTCCCACTCGCCCTCCCTGCGGGATTTCGTCCGAGGCGGCTCTGGGAGGTGCCCCAGACCCTGTCCCAGCGCAGCCCAGGTACCTGCCGGCAGCCGTCGCGCAGCTCCGCCGGGGCGATGGCTCTCGGGGGCGGCGCGGCCGCGACGGGGCCGGGGTCGGTGTTCGGGCTGGGTCCCGTGTCCGGGCTGGGTCTCGGGTCGGGGCTGGGTCTCGGGTCGGTGTCGCGGCGGTGGCCCCCGACGGGTGTCACTGTTCCGGAGGCAGCGAGCGAGGCGAAGTTCAACGTCTTGTTGTCGAACGCATCCTCCACGCTGCAGAACATCCCGCCGCGCTTCTGCCGCGGCCGCGGGCTGCCCGCACCCAGCCCCGCAAAGCAGGCGGGCAGAGCTTCCTCCTGCCGCCCCGACATGGGCCCGGGACCCCCGCGCTGCCCCGGTGCCGGTGCCGCTGCGCTCCCGCAGCCGGCTCGCCCTGGGGAGAAGAGCCCAGCGCTGCGTTAAGAGCCGCCCAGGGACCCCCCGCCCCTCCCGGTGCCCATCCACCCGTGCCCGTCCCCACGCACGACCGGGAGGTGACATCTCGCAGCGCCAGTGACGGCAAAGACAGCGTGGTTGGCCCCCCGAACGCCCCCGCGGCCCTCCCACCGGCCATCTCCCGGTGCCCCAGGGCCACCAGTGTCGCAGTCCAGCTTCCCCATCACCTCAGCCACAAACCAATTCATCCAATTTGAAGGTTTAAAACAGATCTTTTTATTAAAAGTTGACAATAATTTATGTATTTTACAAAGGAATAGAAAGTCTCTCCATATATATCATAGGAATCACAATACAAAAATATGTGTAAAATTCTGTACTTGATCGCTCCAGCCCCTGTTTTCGGGCTGTTGCAGCACTGAACTCAATGTTCTGTCTTTTGGATATGATTTTGGGGTTGGATTAGAGGACACAGGTCACGCCGGCCAGGGGGCCAAAAAAGTCCATTTTCTCCACGTTAATGTTTTGCATAAGTTTACAATAATCCCTTTTTATAAACTGTACAACACATCATACAGGGTTTAATACACGTATTCACAGGGCGATTTCCTGAGTCGAAGCTAAACCTGTTCCTGTGCACACACACACGCTGCCGGGGCCAAGGAGCCGGCGCCGGTCCAGGGGCATTGTCTCTTCCTGGTCAGGAATTCAGTTCACAAGCCGTGTAAGGCACTCAAGGAATCACTGAAGGCTACAGATATTATAGAGCAGAATACTGGAAATAACAGCCACATCCTCCAACAGCTTGAACAAGAAGTCCAGGCCTGACACGCACGTGGCGGTGGGTTTGGGGTGAGGGGGTGGCCCCCTCCTCCTGCTGCTGTACCTCTGCACTGAGGGGCTGCAGGAACCCCCCAGGTGAGGGCACTGTCCCCACGCCGCGGTCCTGTGGCTTGGAGACCGTGTTTTAGAAGATGCACCAGAGCCAGAGGTGAGGAGGGAGCAGCCGAGACCCGACACAGCTCATCTCATGGACAGCACCGGCTCCAGCTCGGCCCCAACCCACGGCCAGGGACTGATCAAACAAACCCATCACACAGAGCCCAGAGGGGTCACAGACAGAGACCGAGAACCCAGCAGAATCCCTTCCTGTGGAGTCAGGGAGCACATGGATGTCAATCCCCTCTGTGCATTTATACGGAGCGAACAGTTCTGAAAACATTCTTGCAGCCATTTCTTCTTTCCTATGTACAAAACTTCTTACATATTTATATTGACATATAGATAAGCACAATCCCTTATTTACACACAGACCTGTCCTGTACAGTTGGCTTTGTAATTAAAACCCCCAGGATTAAGGAAGTCGAGTCAATGGGAAAACAGAACTGATGCTTGAGACAGAAACACACAACAGGCAAGAGCACAGCCTGAGTGAAGAGCCATGTGATGGACCCAAGCCACTTCCTAGCACACACCTCAACTATCACCTGCAGGGCTTCCACTAAATACTGGTTTTTAAGACATGAAGTGTTTCAGTAGAACTCAAAATGGACCTGTTTTAGGTGAGAATGCAGAAGTGAAAATGCAGTTCATCCTGGAATCCCAGCACTGGTATCAGGATCTGGTAGAATTGGAGTTTGTTAAATTAATTCCATAATATAATCATTTACTGACATAAAAATCCACAACCTTTGCCTTAAAACGTTGCATCCATCCAGTACAAATATCACATCTGACCAATTCAATTCCGTTTCCACAGCTGAGCTCCCTGTGCTGGGTTAAAAGGGGTGGTCAGTGTACTGGTGTAGGGAGAGGGTTTAGAATTTCAGTATCAAGGGGTTCTCCTCATAACTTTACAAACTCCAGCCAAGCTTTGGAAGCAGTGCAGGTACCTACAGAACAAAACAAACACAGGAATTAACTACAGCTGGGCTCCTCTCCCCCACATGGGATTTTCAGTTCCATTCCACGGGCTATGCTGAGTTGTGTTAAGCAGCTCTCAGTTAAGTCTAAGTTGGCATAGGCTTAGCCAATTGCTGGATTTTCCCTGGAAAAAAAAAAAAAAAAGAGGTCATTTATTAAATGTTAAATGTGCCGTTTTCCCTAGGCTGTGCCACATATCATATCATTCATTTTCCTTAAGCAACACTCCCCTAACGGTTTTGGGTAACACTCAGAATATCGTGATGATAGTGATGAATGAAGAATTTAAAGTTTGCCTCATTTCACAAGCTCTGAGAGGACAAGCTGATAACCATGGAGCCAAATTCCACCTCCTCTGATGAGCAGAGACAGCACAAAGGACGTGGTGCCCACAGGTGGGAGGGTGGTCCTGCAGCTGCCCCGACCCTTCCTGTGCACCTCCTTGGACCCTCCTCTGTGTTCTCAGTTTCACACTCAGCTACGAGACCAGCGCCAGATGGAAGGGGAATTTCTGGGGCAGACACATGGGAAGCAGAACAGTTCAGCCAATGACTAGAAAGGAGAGAATCCCCCTTTCCCTGTCTCTTCTACCCCCAGACCTCATGAGCAGCTGAATCCCCCCTCCCCAGCACAGCCCCTGCACTGTGGGGGGAATGAATTAACCCTTCCCTGCCCACTTAGCCAGCAGGTCGGAAAATCCCAGACTGGGTTGGGCTGGAAGGGACCTTAAAGCTCATCTCATTCCACCCCCTGCCATGGGCAGGGACACCTTTCACCACACCAGGTTCTGGAGGTCAGGTGGCCCTTTTGTCCCTCCGCAGGAGGCTCTAGACAGGGACACGCAGCTCACAGGGGCACAGTAACACCCCAAGAATTTTTTCAGAAGCAATTCCTGAAAAGACACAGAACTTAAGAGAAACCAAGAGTAACTAACACCGTCTCTTCCAGATGCCGCTTTGCTTTATGCCCGGCTCTGTCACTGCTCATGGCACCGGGGTGGCAGCCCGGGCGGGGCGAGGCCGTCACAACGGGTTTGGGTGAAGGCAGACACGGTGCCTGCGCTGGGACCGCCGCGCTGCCACTTCAAATGTCACTCAGTGCGCCCGGGGCTGCCCGGGGCTAGCCGTGCCTCAGATAAAAGGCACAGTTACCACTCTCTCACCCCGCAATCTCCTGCCAAAGAGGGATTTTTTTTTTTTTTTTTAACAGAAAGCCGTACAAATGGGACAAAAGCCTTTCAGAAACGGTAATGGACGGAGCGCTAATATTTGTGCATCTGAGCATTCACAGCGTGTGGAAAACGGCAGCTTTGCTGAATAGAGCAATGCAAGAATGCAGTTCCTCAAAGATTATGGGTCACATTTCATAGGGGAGAGGAATCATAGAATGCCAGACTGGTTTGGGTTGGAAGGGACATGGCAGGGACACCTTCCACTGTCCCAGGTTGCTCCAAGCCCTGTCCAGCCTGGCCTTGGACACTTCCAGGGATGGGGCAGCCACAGCTTCTCTGGGCAACCTGTGCCAGGGCCTCAGCACCCTCACAGGGAAGAGTTTCTTCTGTACATCCAACATAAATTCCCCTCTTTCAGTTTGAACCCATTACTCCTTGTCCTGTCACTACAGTTCCCGATGAAGAATGGTCACCCTCATCAGCACAGCCTCTTAGCAAGGTTGCAGTGTAAGGAGACACATATATATATAAATATACATATATACGTTTCTTTCTTTGTAAGTGTTGCTAAGGGGATTTGCTGGGTTTGTTTAAACATGTCATCCTGAGCTGGAAATCCCATTTCCACGCTCTCGCCACCCGTGTTCCCCAGCGAGGGGCTGGTGGCAGTGGTGGAGCCTGGAAACCGATTTGGAATCCAGCTTGGGACCTATGAAGTTATGGGGGTTTACAGCAGATAAAGATCAGGGTACTAATAGTTATGGATCTTTCCATACTTACAGAAATTACAGCTGCAACCCCAGCTTGAACAGAGTGCACCTGATGTGATTTTTGCTAACACCTGCCTGTGTGAGCGGGATGAGGGGGTGAAGACCACTCAGGTAATTATCTACTGAGTGAAAATTAGTCTCTGCAAAAATTCAGATTCTGACTGCATTTGAGGCCACACTCCCATGGCTTTTGTGGTAGGAGGAAGGGTTACTGGCTCCGAGAATCTCAGCAATCAACAGCCCTTCGTTGTCACTTTGTTGCTAAATTCCTAATTTTTACTTAAGAACTAAGAGCACTGTTTTGCAGGACATCCCAGTGAACATATCCAATGGTGTGCTTTGTTCCTGGCCATGCTGACTTGGAAAATTGTGGGGTTTTCGTGCCTTAAGACTGTCATATCTACCAGTGGAAGGAAAATTACTGACCCGACCCATTTATGCTGGCAAACCCTGTGAGCTTAGCAGGAACTGCCCACAAGCATAAAAGCACTTCACCTCATTAATATTTATGGCCTGGAATCTGAAACGCCCTTCCTGGGCCCCCGAAGCTTTCCAGCATCTCCAGGGCCTGGGAGGAGGCTGGAGCTGGGCTGGGGGTGTCAGGCACTGCTGGAGCTGTGCCCCTCACCCCCATCACTGCTCTGCCAGGTCGGGACTAACAGGAACAAGCAGCACAGCTGAGTTTGAACCATTTCTGGTCACTTTTCTGCACAGTTTCGTGCCATAAGCAACCCACATGTAGGGCAGAGCTGGGCTTCTGGCATCGCCCTCCTGCACTGCAATCAGAATGCCGGGGGCTCTGCCACCACAATCAGGCTTTACCTGTCCTTTCCCAGTGGAGACAGGAGGAATTCTGACCCAGACACGCTACAAACTGCTTCTGCTATGGGATAAAATAGTGCTGGTCCCTTGAGGCTTGATAGCAGGGCTTTAAAAAGCTGTTTCCTTCCATTACAAATCATTTATCTGTGATAAAATCTTGATACTACTCATTTTACATGCACAGATATATGTGCACAGAAGCCTACAGCATTTTCTGTTCACGTTGGATTTTGAAGCAGCGTGTAACAAAGAGTGAGCAGAATATTTATAATTAAAACTATTTAATGACTGCTACCCCACCCAAAAAGCAGCATGCGTGAGCACAGCCCTGGTTCTTGCGCTCCCATCAGAACAGGTTAAATGGATCTATTTTGACCTATTATGCACTGCTTTTACAAAAATGGCTGATTCTGCACTGAAAACAGTTAGTTTTGTCCTTTAGAAAGCTGGTTTAGGTTAATTGCTGGTATCATCCCCTAATTACTGGGGGTATTTCATTTGGGTACACGGTGCGTATGAGTGACTGTGATCCACTTATATGCACTTTTCATGTAATTTGTAAATAATATTAAAGTGCTTTTTAAAAAGACAAATCTCTTCTTACAAGACAGTCATTATGGTGATGGAAAACGTACGGCAGCTATAAAATATATTTACATGTTGTGTAATATATAAAATATTAGGCAATATCACTATTTTTTACACATTGAAACAGCATCAATTTGTTTTCCAACTAAAGAAAATATGAGAAGAAAGAGAAGCTTTAGCTGCTCCATCCCTGTAAGTGTCCAAGGCCAGGTTGGACAGGTCTTGGAGCAACCTGGGATAGTGGAAGGTGTCCCTGCCCATGATAGGGGGTAGAATGAGATAATTTTTAAGGTCCTTTCCAACACAAACCGTTCTGGGATTCTAATTTAAAATATATGTCTTCTGTATTTGCAATAATGGGGATTTTATAAATGTCATTGTCAGTTAACCCTTAGAGAAATCTCTGTTTGTAAGGCCTGGGCAGTGAGTTCATGACTGGAATCCCTTATTGGCACCAGCATCCATCTGCTGCCACAGCTGGAAGGGCTGGAACGCCCATGAGGACATAAATCCTTGGGCTGGGAGTGTCTCCAGGAGCAGCTGGGATCAGGAATGTGGTGTTTGAGGGGCTCCCAGGAGAACTCCAGACAAAGCAGCCATTCAGCTCCACTCAGCATGGGCAGACAGGAATGGATTTTCGGTCCTTTCCCAATGGACCTGCAGGAACAGGAGCAGGTTGGTGGCAGCAACCAGTGCTGCCAGAGCTCAGGTGCTCCCAGGGCAGCGGGAATGGAATGGTGGGATGGCACCTCTCCGGGTTCACCTCCAGCAGCCCTCCTGGTCCAGACCTGCTCACTTGCAGGTTTCACACAATGACAGCATCATGGAATATCCTGAGTTGGAAGGGACTCACAAGCGCTATCCAGTCCAACTCCTGGCCCTGCCCAGGACACCTCAACAATCCCACCCTGTCCTTGAGAGTGTTGTGTACATGCTCTTTGAGCTCTGGCAGCCTTGGGGCCATGACCACTGCCCTTCCCCTGACTTCTGGTCTCTTCCAGAACATGTGCTCCCATGCTAAATCCATGGCCAGGTCTCCCCTACAGCGTGAAGCCATAATTACACAACACAGAAGGGAATAAACCACCCCCTGGTTCACCTGTTCTGCACATCAGCTCTGAAGGGCAGCAGAAACAAATAAAGAAACATCTCTGAGAAATAATAAACCATCACACCCTGGCGAGAACGGTCACTCTCTGGCATTGTTCCTGTCACAGACCCCTGGGCACAGGGAGGGAGGAGCTGCAGCTCTGGCACGGGACAGTTCAGCAGGACGGGCACGCAGGCAAGCTGAAAATGCAGCACTAAGGCAGGAAGTGCAGGATGACACCTCAGCCTCCCCATCACCTGCTCCCGGGGCAAAGGCACACCAGGGTGTTCCCCAGCAGGAACCTCAGGCCTCAGGGTGATGGCACTGCTCAATCCCATTGGAACATCCTTCTCTTGCCCAGATGACCTCACTGTGGAGGGTTTCGGAAACGCAGCTGCAATTAACACCCTCAGAGATCTGGTACATTATAAATTTACAGCCCCCAGAATCCTACAGTCGCTCTCTCAGTACAGTTGGCACGGGGTGAAAAGTGGCTTTGATCTGATGGTGGGTGAGTATTTTTACAATCCCTTTAGTTCCACGACATCCCAGCGCTGCCAACGCGGGCTGGTCTGTCTGTGACAGCCGTCCTGACACTCCTCTCTTCCATTTGCTGTATCCCCGGGCTGTTTATAACATTCCTGTTTATAACAAGGAGGAAAGTGCCCCCTGGGGAAATGTGT